TACTGAGTGATCTCTCACAGAAACAAAGATCTGAGTATCACATGTTCTCATTCATATAGTGGACCTTGAACACCCAACATTATACTATAAGAAAATGACTGACAGTGGTGGGAAACTACGGGGGGGGAGGGAGATGGGATTAATGGTAGTAAATATCTGTCTGGGGATGGGGAGACACCTCTTATCAACAAAGGTGCCTGAATGAAGCATATTTGTATACCTAACCCTTAACTGTACCCCACAATATCATAATAAAAATATTGATTATTAAAAAAAAGAAAAGCAACAGACAAGAAAAGGAAAAAAATAATAATAATAATTGTATTTTTAGTATTTTATTTTAGTATTTTTTATTAGTATTTTAATTCATTCAGCCCGCTAGACAACTCAAAGAGGCAAGTAAAATTGGTAAGTGTACACCATTTTCCAGGGGAAATGTGTACATGAGAATTACTTTACATTAGTAGATAATCAAGAAGCAGCACCATATGTACCATATCAAAAGTATATGTTTTCCTTGAGCTCTTGTCGGCTAGTCCTGCAGTTCGTACACTAACTTCTTTTCGTACAGGATCGCATTCTATTATTGAATGGGCGTTAGCTTTCCGCTCTGCCAAATTAAATGGTCTATAAAAAGAAATACACAAAGTTATTCAAGAACTCTCAGTTACCAAGATAACAGGACATTTTCATTAACTATATTAGTCAAGAAAATCATGAAGTGTGAAATTTTGACTACATTGTTGGTGATGGGAATTGAATGTGGACTAAATGGCACCGCTAAAGCAGACCAGAGACTTATAAAGGTCTGTATTCTCAGCAATAAAATTAGGTTTGTTTTTCTTTAATTTCGGAAGAAATACAAAATATTATAATTCTGATAGTTTCTTAGGATAAATGCTAACAGATTATAACTTGTAAAAAATTACTAGACTCTTCAGGGACAGTGACTCATGCCTGCAGGCAGACCACTTGAGTCCAGGAGTTTGAGTCCAGCCGGGGCAACACAGTGAGACCTCATCTTTACAAAAACAAAAAACAAAAAATTGGGCCGGGCTCATGCCTATAATCCCAGCACTTTGGGAGGCCAAGGTGAGAGGACTGCCTGAGCCCACGGGTTTGAGACCAGCCTGGGCAACTTGGCAAGACCTCATCTCTACAATAAATTTTTTCAAAAAGTAGCTGGGCATGGTGGCGCATCCCTGTAGTTCCAGCTACTTGGAAGGCTGAGGTGGAAAGATCATCTGAACCCAGCAGGTCAAGGCTGTAGTGGTCATGAGCATGCCACTGCACTCTAGCCTTGGCAACAAATGAGACTCCAACTCAAAAAAAAAAAATTTTAACCCAGGCATGGTGGCTCACACCTGTAATCCCAGCACTTTGGGAGGTGGGAGCAGGAGGATTGCCTAAGTCCAAGGGTTTGTGACCAGCCTGTGCAACTTGGCAAGACCTCATCTCTACAATAAATCAAAAAATTAGCCCAGCATGGTGGCCTGCACCTATAATTCCAAACTACTTGAAGACTGAGGCAGAAGGATTGCCTGAGGCCAGCAGGTTGAGGTTGCAATAACTGTGAGCGTGCACTGCACTCCAGCCTGGGTAACAGTAAAACTCCAACTCAAAAAACAAACAAAAAAATAAAAAATTACCTAGGCATGTTAGCAAGTGCCTTTAGTTCCAGCTACTCAGAAGGCTGAAGCAGAAGGATTAACTAAGTCCAGAAGGTCAAGTATATGATGGGCTGTGACTGGGCCACTGCCCTCCAGCCTACCCCACAGAGACGCCAATTAAAAAAAAAATTACTTCCTCTGAGAGTCCTTCTCATTGCATAAGTCTCCATCTTCCCCAACCCAAGACCATACCAAATGTTTCCTCCATGCTCCCATAGCATCCTTCATACTCTTTCTAAATATCACTTCTCTTGTCATCATCTGTCTACATATTTCCCATTAGACCTCAGATCACTATCATAAACAAATCCTTCCTAGCTTACTGTTCCCCCCAGTTCCCACTAACATGCTTAGCACACAGTAGGCTCTCAAAAATTTAATGGGCTGGGCTCGGTGGCTCAGTCTGTAATCCCAGCACTTTGGGAGGCCGAGGCAGTGAATTGCCTGAGCTCGCCGGTTCAAGAGCAGCCTGGGCAACTTGGTGAGACCTCGTGCCTACAATTAAAAAAAAAAAAAAAATTAGCCGGATGTGGTAGTGCATGGCTGTAGTTCTGGCTCCTTAGAAGGCTGAGGTGAAAGGACTGCCTGAGCCCAGCAGGTCGAGGCTGTGGTGGCCGTGAGCATGCCACTGCACTCCAGCCTGGGTGACAGAGTGAGA